TTTGTCCTTTTCCAAACACAGCCAACTCTGCAATATGTTCAAAAATTAAATTAGTAAACGATAAGGAATGGTTTCACAATTCAGCGTAGGATTTCTATCTATCAAATATGAGGAGAGGAGTGGGACTAGCAATCGAATCGTGGAGCGAGCGTTCAATAAGTTTATTTGTTCATTTTATTAAGGTGTGAGCTCTACAGATGATTATGTACGCCCGAAATGCCCACGTAGGTGGCTTTCTTCTTGCTTGTTATCATGAGGGCGCGGCACTGCTTCTTGGAACAGGACCAGTAAATATTTTCGGCATAGATGGCCCTTCTAGTGTAACGCTGTCCGTCATAGATGAGAGTCACACCGCCCTTGGTGCGCTCGTAACGCACACGGTCCCAGTCGTCCAGCGTGCGTACACATTTCTGCTTGGTTGCCAGACCACAGCGCACAGCCTGCGGGCCCGAGCCCGAACTTTTGGGCAAGAAACTCTCATTGCCATAGCTGCCCAGCACGTTCGGATCGAGTTCTGTCAATGCTGCAAGAAAGAATAAAAACAAAAACATAAATAAATAAAACGAAAGAAAAGGTACAATTAATATTAAAATATAAATTAGTATTTTTTATAAATAAAACAACAATGGATACAAAAAAGCAGCATTAATTTATTTATAGTTAAAACAGCAACCAGAAATGATCAAATTCAGCTGAATAGAAATAAAAATATATAAATGAAAATGTAATTATTATGCCGAGCACTTACCTGTCTGCCAACGTACAACTCCAGTCTACAGGTTTGTTTCAACTAGAACCACATTTAAATATTTATTGAAAATTAAGCTAATTTAAAGTCTAGTTTTTAGGCTTATGCTGTGATTAAGTTAAACAGTCACACAGCTGCCGCAGCTGTCTAAAAACTACGAGAGCATCTCCATTACTGATGATTGTGCACGCCACTGATGTCGTAGCGTGACTGTCCGCTGGGCAGAACATGCGTTATGATACGTGAGCGGCATTGCTTGCGCCACTTGCTGCACTTCCAGTAGACCTTGTCCTTGTAGGAGGCATTGCGCAGATAGCGATGATCGCCGCAATGTAGAACACAGTTGCCACTAGCTGTCCTGATGTACTGCACATCGCTCTTCGCGAGTCGCACGCGCTTCACAAGATGCGGCATGACGGATCGCCTCGACACATTAATAACCCCAAAGGGCACTGAAAAAGCAGAGCAAAATGGCAGTAATTAGTGTTAAATCGTTGGTGAATGACTGCTTAAACTTCTGTACATCCGCTTCTGAATTGATTTAACAGCTTAACTAGACGAGCATTAATTTTATTTTAAACATTATAAATTAATCCCTAATGTAAGGTTATGGCTAAATGCTGAGCTTTGTTTCGATTCATTGCAGCTCTTGCAAATCCTCGATGCTGAGATTGAGTGAACGCAGCTCCAACGTGAGATCCTCGTTGTGATTTTCCGTTTTGATGAAACTGGGCAGCGGTTTGCTCGGCCTGCAGCGCACCTTAGCCAGCGGACTGATTAGGGACATACGCTTCTTGCGCTCCATATTCTGGCAGGTGTGATGGCACGACTCCAGCACAATCTTGTGAACGCCATCGACCACGTTGGTCACAACGCGCGCATTGCACTTTGTGCTGCCCTGCAATGAAAACAGAGAGGGAGAAACATTGATACCTGTTTTAGTAAAGGTTTATAATGCACTATGTAAATAAAATAGTTAATTATCGAGGTAGACTCACCTTCTTGGAGCAGATCCAATAAGTTTTCAGATTGCTGCGACGATTGCGCACATAGTTGTGGCCGTTGAATGCCAGCAACTTGCAGCCGCGCTGTCCGCGAATAAATGTGAGCAGACTGTGCTTGATGATGCCCTTCATGTCGTCCAAATCGGATAAGTCTGTAAGTAGCAATTATATTAGTGTTTAGCTGGGAGGGTTAGCAGAGTTAGCAGAGGGTTATACACGCGTAAGCATAAAATACAATTTGGTTTTCTTGGGGCAACTCTTTGTATTATCTCTATTAAATATATATATTTATTTTCTCTATACAAGTGCGGGAGTGCTTCGCGCATTTTGGGAAGGGTAGAGGTTGAATGCTGAACTAGAGCTAGGGGGTACGACTAGTAGGGCGGATGGTTGTGCTCATCGCACTTGATGGTCACATCGTGATCCTGCACGGTCACCACGCGCGCCTTGCACTTGTGTGCGCCGGCCCGGGCACACGACCAGTAAGTCTTCGAGCCCGTCGACTTGTTCCTCGTGAAGGTAAAATCGCCAATCTTTAGCTTTCGACTGCCGCGAAAGCCCGTGATGTACGAATAGTAGGAGACGGCATCTGCGAATGGTAAGGAAATAAAAAATGGTTAGAAACAATGAACCTTGGAGATAGCAAAGATCTTATGCCTAGTGTGCGACTGAAACTATTGACAAATTGGCTAACTTGAGTTTTATTAAGGCTGTAGTTTACATTAGGCTTAAGACTAGTCGGCCGTTGGTGTGGCAAGCGGATCTGTCTTCGGATCCGAGTGATCCTTGTTCCGATCTGCGCGTGCAGCCGCCTCGGCTCGCTGTCGCTTCAGAGAGCCATATTTGCGTGCCTTGGAGATGACCTCGTGGTTGTGCTCGCTGTTCAGGATCGTGAGGGTGTCCGATTTGGTTTTGAGCCTCGCTCGACATCTTAGCACAGCAAACTGAAAGTGCAGGGAAATGAAAACCTTCAAAAATACTTCTAGCTTGAAGGGTGGCGGGTGGCGAATACACTCACCTGAGAGCAGCGCCAATAGGTGACATCGTCGCGGCAAATGTGGCGATTGAAGGTGTGCTGTTTGAGCATTATCTGCCTGGTGCCGTACTTGCTGACAATGAAGAAGGGCGTATTGGTGCTGACACCAGCATTGGCTTCCGCCGTGCCATTGCCCAGCTCCATGGTCGTCTCGCCGACATCCACGCTGATGTGATAGTCGAACTTAGCTGGAATGGTAAGACGGTTTGAGGAGCGCGAGTTAGTTGTCTGGCTGCTGGCTTTTGTGGGGTCGGTGTCGTATCACAGCCGACGGCCCTCTCCGCTCCACTCCAATGGGAAATAAAACACGCGTGGGCTTGATTTGTCAATTGTTTGGTTTACATTTAGGCAATAAAATTACTTTCTAACATTGGGTTGGATTCAGTTAAGTCTAGGGCTAGGGCTATGGTTTATGATGGAACTTGGTCTAGGGCTATATTATACATACAAATCCTTCTAGCACTAGACACAGCAGTGCGCGGCATGTCCGTTGTGCTTGGTGAGGCGCGGCTTGCGGCTGAGCTCCACCAGAATATAGTGAGCCTTGCAGTTGGGTGTCAGGCAATGGTAGTAGCTGCGGTACTGCGTGGCTCGAGTTTTCTTGTACGATCGTCCGTTTATTGTCAGAAACTCTCCCGAGGTCGTTCGCTTGAACCTGACCTCGTGCTGAGTGGGCAATGCAGGTACCGCTCCAGCTGCTGTTGGATATTGGGGAATTTCAAATGCAGATGGTGAAGGATGAGTTGGGATAATGAGATGGGAGCTTAGGCTAGGACAACTACAACACAGCTAAAAATCTACAAGTATGGGTTCTGTTTTTTTGTGGAATCTCTTTAATATTACGTTGCAAGGTTGCCCTGGAAAATAAGCTTGGCGGGCACATTGTTGCCCGTAAAGCGGGGCGGATGGTTATGATCATTCCTGCCCAGCTTGATGCCACCATCCGTCTTGGTTATGGCCCTGGCGGCGCACTTATTCTCGTTCAGCCGCTTGCCATTGCCATCGGAGCATATCCAATTGACGCTGTACTTGAAGCTAGCCTCCTTCTTGTACATGTACCCGTTGAACACGAGATTGTAGCCCTGCTTCTGGTTGCGCATGAAGAAGTATGGGATCTTCTCAATCCAGGTGCCCTTCTGCAGCTCCCCCACATACTGGCCCATCGTGGCTGCAATGGAAATAAGCGAACGATGGACAACATACATAGAGTGGGTGTACATAGAGTATTGCTACAGATAGTCAATCACCGGAATTTAATATTAACCAAGAGAAAAACACACACGCACAGATTGGGGGGGATCAAATGGTTTATTGTGGATTAAACTACTAACATTGCTTATTATAAATTAAACACTAAATACACATACATGTGTATGTATGCATGTATGCATCGCACGAATGGCAAAAAGGAGACTCACCTGAACATCTGGTGTCCCGCCATATTTTAGGCATCGCCCAAGTATGCGGTCCACGCTGTAGCACTTGTGATTCAGGACATTGCATCTTTAACTTTCATTTTCAGCTCGTATCTGTCACTTTCTGTTGTAACTTGCTGCCACAAAAAGCAACAACGAAGAATCTGACACTTCGTGCTTGTTGGTGCAAGCATTCGCTCGCACATACACACACACGCCAGCACCCAACCAGGCACATACTCACGCCGTCGTTTCCACAGGACACTTTAGCACATATTTTTCACTCTCTTCACCTCCGTTGCACTTGCAAACATTTACGAAAACACTGTTACACATTTTGGAGGTAATTGTCATGACTTTAACTAACTGCTTTTTAACACAAACAAGACCCAAACACAAGCGAAAAACCACGGCGAAAAAATTTTAAAAACAACTACAAAAAGATGGCGTCAGTGTGACCGCGGATTTATCGACAAAACATACCATCTGGATACGGAAATATATGCTCGTAACAGAACACTGTTCATAACATGTAATGTCGATACTATCAATAGTTTTGTGGTCTTGATTTCATTGGTGTTTGTTAAAATTGGGTGATTCTAAGTAGACAATAACCATTGTGGACCATTTATAAGAGCATTTTAATTAATTGCGGATAGTGTGTACATTTACATTTATTTTGTTGAGCGCGTATCGATGATTTTGCAACTCTTCTTGTGTTGGTTAAACATCGTTCTGTTTTCGACCGTATCCAGCACTAAAATCTACTTCCAACTTTCAAGAGGCAGAAATTTTATATTAATTTTAATTTATTTTTATTTTCCAATTGAATAAATGAACCGGCGCAGCAGAAACTTGATCATATTTGTTTTATTTTGTTTTTCGTTAAGTCGCACCGGCGTGAACAGCTTTTCTAACCTGTTGCTTCTTCATTTTCTTTCCACAGTAGCAGCCACATCAACATCCACATCCGCATCTATTTTGGCAGTAATACCTCCACGCAAACGCGGACGACCAAGGACGAAAGTCGCCGAAGATGCAACGCCCAAGTTGAAGCTGCTCGACAAGCTAAAAGCTGCAACATTGAACGAGGCCGCCAGTGAGCAAGCCGTATACGCATCCACCACCAAGGGTAAGTGGCAAGGAGCGCTCAACGCAAGCCTTAGCTTCAGCTGAATTGCACCTGTTGCGTTACTAATGGCAAAATCAACTTCCCCCAACTTTCCGAACAGGTGGCGTGAAACTTATTTTTGATGGGCACCTTTTCAAGTTCTCCTTTCGCAAGGCGGACTATTCGGTTTTCCAATGCGTGTACCGGGAGCATGGCGAGGAGTGCAAAGTGCGTGTTGTGTGCGACCAGAAGCGCGTCTATCCGTACGATGGAGAGCACGCCCACTTCATGCAGGCCAGCGACAAGAGCTGCCTGCCCTCGCAGTTCATGCCGGGCGAAGGCGGTGCCATTGCATCATCGAACAAGGACATGGGAGGCAAAGTGGAGCTCCTGATGAAGAAAAACAAGCTGAAGGAGGAAGAGGACGAACAGGAAGAATTTGAGATCCATGAAATCGATGACATTGAAATTGATGAGACGCCACTGGTAGAAAAATCGATCCCTATGGAAGCAAGCGAACAGGAAACGGTCAACGCTGCTTCTACGGACACTGCAGACGACACAAATTCCAGCCTGATCGTGACATTGGTGCCGCCCGCTGAGGACGTTGATCCCAATGACTTTCGCGAGAAGATCAAGCGTCGTCTGCAACGTGCGCTGCAGAACAAGAAGAAGTAACTGGATGAAGGATGATGCCGCAGTGCCTCCAATCTGACCAATTTTTAAATACATTTCTTAACTATTCACTTTGCTACAATTACTAGGTTTTGCACCCATAAACAAATATATAATGCAACTTACTCTAATTTAGATTTTGCGTAATAAATTTTTGATGTCAATAGACTGGCCTCGCGTGCCCATCCAAGCAAATAACTTAGTACGTAAGCCTGTCAACGATACTTTGTAACTACCACTCATCTTTCTATTCGATTCCACATTGATTAATGCAGGCAACAGTCTAATTTTGATTCTCTATTTTTCAGTTACACAACATGTCCGGAACTGTGGGCCGCAGATGTTTCTGATTAGTCGCAAGGGCGGCACTCTGTTGGCCATCAATAACTTCCTCTATCGCTCCAATCTCAAGTTCTTTGGCAAGAGCAATAACATTCTGTACTGGGAATGCGTCCAAAATCGTTCAGTGAAATGCCGCAGCCGCTTGAAGACCGTCGGCGATGATCTCTATGTAACAAACGGTTTGTAGTTACAACTTAAAGACTTCAACTCCAACTTATTGCTATCTGCTTTCACAGATGTGCACAATCACATGGGGGACAATGTGCGCATCGAGGCGGCCAAGGTGTCTGGCATGCTGATACACAGAAAACTGAGTTCCCTCACATCTGCTGACCGCATACAGGGCTCGTGGAAGCTTGAAGACGATCCTACCGCCACACCCGACCAGTAACCATGTCCATGTCCGTTTTTAGACACATTCCCTGATTGTCAAACTAGAATTTAAGTTAATGTTTCCGCAAAAGCCGAGCCTATTTAGGATCGATAAGTAAGTACCTTTATGTATCTGGGATCGAACTGTCAGCGTTTTGTGATGAGTTTCACAGTCCCTCCCCTATCCATACAGTCACGGGCGATGTGTGCATATTAATTCCAGTCTAAAATATGATCTCTGGAAAATAAAGAAACCCCCCCGGTTTCAAACGAGAGTGGGGCTAGCAATATGGAAGCCAATTGTAGCTAACAAAATGCCAAATTTTGTGCAAACAGAACAGGATTTGAGTTTACTTTTTTGTAACCAAAGTAAATCCTTTAAAATACATTTTAATTAATCATCGAATCACTTTGGCCATCACTCGCGTAAGTGTTAAGTTGCTAAACTATTTAAAGTAATTTTAAGCTTTTGGTTTTCACATTCTTGTGGTTGTGTGAGGAGCAGCTGCTGCGATATTTGATGTCGCTACCCACCATAAAGGTGGAGGCACGAGCCCGGCAGCCCTTGTGGTGGAAGCGGCAGCGCCATGAGCCCATCATATTGTTTCCATCGCGTATGCGGTGTATAATGTACTTTTCGTTGTCAATAATCAACTTTGGGCGCTTGCGGGTTGATAATTTGAACTCAGCAGAGCCATCAAAGTCCTTGGGTTTTTTGAACTGCCGCCGCGGTGCCGTAACTGCAAGAAACAGAAAGAGTTTCAAATGTGAGCGAGGATTTGTATATAGTTTTGATGGTTCAAGTTTAGTCAGTGTCAGATAATAAAAGATCATTCTATGCATATTTATGTTGTATATTAAAAGTTCTTAGAGCTATCATGACTTATAGACAATTATTTGCACTTATCGTAAGGTACTCTACAACGACATCTCAGTTCGGTAACAACAGGCAGAGGTGCCCCACTGGGGGCTAGTACTCCTTGTTGATATAAAAAGCGCCTTGGTTTTGGTGGTGCTGCTGCATCAGAGCCATCATTTGCGACGGCTGCACATTTGTCATGGCTAGCGACATGGGCATGGGCAGCGTTGGTATAGGCAGAGACATGCCCAGATGTGCTGTTGCTGCGGTGGAGAAATTTGTGGGCATCTGCGCCAAAGGCGGCTGCTGCTGCGACTGCTGCTGCTCCAGCTCCAGCGGTGGTGTGGCTAAGTTCAATTGCGTACATTGGCTGCCACAAACTACATTATTGACTTTGGCCTGGCAATATTGCTGGCAGAGTGACAGGAGATCCTTGTGCCGCCGCTTGATGTGGCTGAGGAAGTTGCCCGTAGACTTGGTGGTGCCCGATATGAGGCCGCAGCAGGCGGTGCAGGTGGCCTGGATGGCGCCAGCCGTTTTCTGGCTCGGCTGTATGTTCCTATAGAACTTACCGTCCAGGATCTTGGGCAGGGTGAATGGCTTGCGGAAGGACTCGTCGTCGCCCAGACAGGTGACGGCCAAGGAGGCAACAGAAGCCACAGCAGGCAGCGTTGTGGGTGTCGGAGTTGTTCTCGTTGGCGACTCCAGCTTAATCTGAACATCTGAAAGCAAAATCACAAGAAGATAAAGTTAGTAAAGAGACAGAGAGACACGCGGCAGGCACTAAACTACGTACAAAACGAACACGCACGCAATAGGGATACACATTTAAATAGGTTTTAATTTATTTAAGTAGAACTAGGACGTAAAATATAACTACGACGGAGGAGGATAGATGGGTTGGGATGGCACTGGACAGGAACAACTACTGCAATTCGGGGAAATCATCCAGCAAGTCGGCCGAAAGGTCCATCGAATTCACTTCCGGGCCATGGGTGTGCGGCGATCCAGCTATGCGGAGCGTAACATCCTGCACCTTGGACGTGACCAGGGTGGCGCGACAGCTGTGCTTCACATACCGCGAACAGCGCCAGAAGACATTCTTCAAGCTCTGGCGATTCACAACATATCTGTAGCCCTCGTATACCAGCATGACGCGGCCGCGCTGCGTGGTTGTATATTGGATGCTTGTGCTGGAGCTCTTGTCCTCGAACAGAGCCTTCAGGGACTGCAGCACACCTGGAAGAAGCAACAGAGTTTGGATTTTGTTAGTTTTGGATTGCCTGCCAGTGGGAGCAACACAACCTGAGGGAGCAGAAGTTAAGGGCTACGTGACAAGAGGGATCGAGCAATTCGGTTACTGATATTTATTGGTCAGTTTACAAACGCAACAAAACAATTTGGCAAATGTGTGCTGTCTATACTAATCCTTGGCACTGCCTGCGAGCGCTTTTAGGGTCGCCAGCTTGTGATCCATGAAATCCAGGATGTCGGATGGCGTCAGCTTGTCGCCGCGTATGGCAAACACCTGCCGCACATGGGCTGCAACAAGAGATGGGAAAAGTAATTTTATTCTGCAGAATTTGTTTAGTGCATCGGCTGCTATGTACTTATGATGCCATGCAGCATGTCCCGATCTGACGACTCCTTGCCCTGCGCAATCCTCATCAACGTCTCTTTACCAAACACCAAGTCCGCGACACGTGAGGTATAAATCGCTGGCATGGGTATGTACGCCTTGGCCAGAGCCGATTTCGACACGAATACAGGACTGCCATTGAACAGGGGAATTGAGTCGTCACTGGTCACTGGTTTCTCGACCAAGTCTGGTTTCACGGCTTGCGGCAGCGGCTGCTGTGCATCCTTTGTCACCTTTTCGGGCACAGTTTTTGGCACCGACACCACAACGTCTGCAAGTGCAAATAAAAAGTAAAAGCATTATTTCAGCACAGCACTGTGTTTTTTATGTACTGTATGTTTGTATCAACAATAAACGTAAACAAAATAAAACACATTTCAAGAGGTTGTAGGCTTTATTGGGTCAAATATTCGTATGTGAAAGCGTACATGTGCAGCGTATATGTGTCTGGTCTTTACCAGGACACGTATTATCTATTATTTATTAAGTTAAACACTGAATTTATGCAAAGACTCCATAAAAGAAATATATGAACGCACGAGACACAAAAATTAAATGGACTTCTGCAGGGCTGCATCGAAGAAATGAATGCAATCGACTGTATTGATACTATCGGATAATTGCAAACAGCGAGGAAAAAAGAATTTAGCAAATATTTCATTCATAAAATGTTTAAATAGAAAAATAAAATCAAAATAACTTATTTTTAATAAATTTAGGCTAAAAATCAGAATGTTTATGGTGCGCGATGTTTGCAAAATTCACAACCATCGATAACATTATTAGCCATCGAATTGTTTCCCAGCCCTAGTCGCCATGAAAAAAAAACTGTAACAATACGCTGAAAATTGTTATTAATTTTTAATGCAATCAACGTAATTATAGTGGAAATATGAATACGAAAGTGAATGACCTTAGTGTACTGCCCCATTGTGTGATAGGACCTGACTCAGCCTGCAACTGCATCTTGGCTGAAAAGGCGGGTGTCCAAAGTGATTTGTCTCTTTGAAATTTGCAAAACGAAACGAAGCGACGCTTTCGCAATTGCAACAAATGTGCACATAAATAAATGAAATGATCACAACAGAAGCCATGTAACACGATGTCAATAAAGTGTTAATGCAACAAATAAAAAATAAATCGATCTAGAATATTATTTGGCGGATCTGCATTGGGCTCGACTCTCTGCGGACTATGTCTAATCAAAATCCCTCTACCACATCATTTTGTCTTGCAGGGATTGAAGATGACTACAAAGTGCAGTTGGTGCATCCCCAGCTGCACCTGCTCAAGCGAAAGTCAGTGTCTGGCTCCGTGAGGAAGCAAAACTTCGACCACCTGGACGTGTGCTTCACGCGCAGTAATCGTGGCAACAACCTGCTCACCATTGACGGCAAACCCTTTACGCTTAATCGTCGCATCAAGGATGCCTGCTACTGGGAGTGCGTCAAGTTGCGCTGCAAATACATCAAGTGTACAGCGCGTGTGGTAACCAAATCGAATCAGATCTCGGCACTGCGCGGCCATCACAATCATCAATAAGTGTCACGAGTCACTCCTGTGCCATTTCTCATTTTAGTGAAATAAAACGTTTTTCTGTTGAACCAAAATCCGTCATTGTAGCTTCTGTAGAGTCTCGAGCAGCGTATAGTCTGTTTAGTCTCGTAATAATGCCTCGAACTCCTTGCAGATGGCGTCTACCAGCTGGTGGCCAATCGGCGCGGTGGCCAGAACCTGATCTACAAGGGTCACATGTACTCGGTGGAGCGAAAGTACCATGCCAGCATCAATTGGGTGTGTACCAAGAACAGCAATCTCATGATCCGTTGCCCCGCGCGCTGTGTGACCAACACGAATGACAGTAGCATCAGGCTCAGTCACAGATCCCACAACCATGCCGCCAATCTGTTCAAGGTGCACAAGCCCAGGCAGTTTACACGCGAGCGCCGCCGGCACAGGCAGAGTGTTCCCTAGTCTTAATTCTTAAACTAAGTCTTAGATTTTTAAGCCTGCAATCTACGAATAACCGTAACCATTTGCTGCACTCATCTCACTAACCACAGCCCCGTCTCTTAACTCTACTTGCATGCAGCCGTTCCGCGCCGTCGCCTGCCGCAGTACTGCAATCTCTGGGCTGATGGTGGCTTTACGCTCATCGATGGGTACCGGTTTGTGATTGGCTCCCAGGTCCAGCAACGTTGCTATCTTAAGTGCTCAAGCTTTCGCAGCAAGTGTCGCGCCCGAGCCATACTGAACAAGGCGAATGGGAAGATTCAGCTACGCCACTGGGCACACAATCACACACGGGGCCAGCAGCAGCGGGCCATGGCGCGGCGTAACTCAAAGGATTGAGCAAGTACCCAAACAAAACTCACTCTTATCGAATAAACAAGGCAATTGTTCCAATACAAAATACTTTACCGCTTTTCACTCATATCTAACTCGAAGATCATCACACAAAACACTTGATTTAATTTTCTAAAAGGATTTGTACTAACTCGAGAATTTTCTTGTTTTGCAGCAGAACAGGCCAAGGAGTTCGTTGAGTATGTGCGCTCGAAGCGCGGCACTGGCCTGGTCTACTATGAGGGCAACACCTACACGCCCAATGAGAAGCTGCGCGAGGGCCAGTTGAGCCGCGACTGGAAGTGCTCAATGTACCACAAGGCCAAGTGTCGGGCACGTCTCGTCACGCGTAACACACGCAGTGGAGAAGTCATACATGTGACCAGCAGATTTCACACACATCCCTCGATGTACGATCAACAGCAAAAGTCAGAAGCCAGAGACAGGGACGCCCGCAAGCTAAAGAAGTAGCCACCTAAATGTCTCGTTCTAGTGTAGATGGAGCAACAAGAGACACAAAATAAATCCCTATAATTGTATGCACAGTCTTGGCCTTTTATTTTGCATGCAATGCCATGGATTATTTATTTATAAATTATATTAATATATTGAATGACTCTTTGCAGACTGTATGGCAATTGGCAAACATTTGCCTGTGCGGTGTATTTTAGACGACAATGGCAGGACAATGAAAAGGAGTCCAGTGTCCATTAGATTCATCGAGGGACAACGCAAGTCGGTGCAGCTGGTGTGTGGCAGCTATGCCTATGCCAAGAACAACAAGCATGGCGCCACCATCTACTGGAACTGTCGCATACGACGCCACGGGCAGGAGCCGTGCAAGGCTCGCCTCTCCACCACAGAGCACCCCAATGGCCAGTACACAGTGCATCTCACGCGACCCAAACACAATCATCCGCCCAGCAAGCGCATCAAGCGTTTACTCAACCAGAAAGAATCTCAAATCGCAGACACTAAGCCTAGATCATAAGCAGAAAATATAAACGGCAAACAGCATTCAACTGTCTCTTGTATCTGTGCATAATTGTAGATTAATTGAAGGCTTTAAATGAAATGAAAACCAACTAAATTCATTATTCTTCTCCACAGAAAACATCATCGCTATCTACTCGGCCACATCGCGAGGACGCATGCAGCTCATTTATGGCGGGCAGCCGTTCATCTTTGAGAAAACGCTGAAGCTGTCATCGGGCGAGGAAAAGCGATTCTGGCGCTGCAACCAATGGTGGAACCAGAAGTGCCGCTCACGTGTGTTCACAGTCAATGACATTGTCTTTCCGCTGAATCGTTTCCACACGCACGAGGAGATTGTGCGACGCAAGAAAAGAGTTCGTCGCGTGCTGCCCGAGTCTGAGGGTGTTGCCTCCAAGGTTGTGTCTAGCATCAGTAGGCAGCAACAGCAGGCGACACAACAGCAGCAGCAGCAGCAGCAACAGCAACATCAAGATATGCAAGAGCAGCTGGCGAGTGATGCAATGCTGACAACCACATTGGAGGATGAATCGCCGGCCACGATTGATGTGAACGAGCTGGGCATGCACCTGAAGTACGAGGAAATAGTGGCCGATGTTACACGCATTGAGGGCTCCAATCGCGTGGCCACGCGCCGGAAGTGAGATGCAAATCTGCACCAACTCGTACTCGTAGATTTAATTTGATTTTAGGGGACCCTAAGGCGACACGCTAGGACCTAGAACCTACACCACATTCAATATATGGCAAACATTTCAGCTTCTAGCATACACACAGTACATACACTTATGATTAAACTCTCTTCTAATAAACATTTAAAAGCCTTTGACAGTATAGAGTGGATATCCCCCCCCCCCAGCTAAGAGTATTCCAATACCAAACTAAACTTTACTAACCCAACGGCACACATGTTCTCGTTTTTTTTGTTGCAGAAGACGCAGTAGCCACACACAAGTTCTACTTCACCAAGGGACAGCGGGAATCGGTTAAGCTGAACTACGCCGGCCATAGCTATGTGAAGTTCATGCAGAACAGTCGCGGCACCAAGTGGATATGCGCCACACGCTCCACGACCAAGTGTCGGGCACGCGTTCGCACCAATGTAAATAATTCCCTGGAGATTCTCCACGCGCCACACAATCACGAAATGTCGCCACAAATGGAGAAAAGGCGCCACCGTCAGAAGATCATAGCAAAGTTGAATAGAAATGAGCCCGAAAGACGCTAGTTTAAGTGCAAAAGTAATAATGGTTATCGTCATTTTAAGCAAGTCTAAAAGTTGTATTGCTTTATTGCCATATTTAAAATAATTTAAAATGCTACAAATCCTGAGAAAATGGCTTAAGATTGAAGCGTATTTTTACTTGTCAAGAGTTAAAATGTAAGCTACCATTTATGCCATTTCTGCATGTAATTCTTCAAAGCATTTGTCACACATCCAATTGGTTCCCGGGCATGTGTCGCACCAGGTGTTTATCCTGACGAGACCCTCTTTACCCTTCTTCAGGCAATTGACGCACTTGCCCTGCTTTCGTGGCACTTGCACCAGCACAAAGTTATGATTGTTCGCCGATGTGCTCAAGATATTGGCCTTATTCCGCAGATCAATCATCTTTAGCTGTGGCTGCTGTGGCTTGGGGTTCTCGTTTGGTGTCCATCTACGTACCACAGCTGGAGCCACTTCGCGTTTCATGGCTACTGCAAGCATGGGGCGTGGCGTCTTCTTAGTTGCTGCAATGGGAAAGATGCGAGTTAACAAAAGATTGCATAAAATATAAACACATTTAGGTACAGGAAGATAAAAAAGGCCTAAACGAAGCTTGTTTTTCATTTAAAAGTTTATTTAATTCAATTATTCTAAGGCCTCTAGAGATCTTTGCTGTTTACGGAATCAGACTAGAATCGAATACCCTAGGCACGAACGCCTTAACATGGCTGGGCGGCTCATGATTATGTGCACCATGCTGTGCCACTATAGACTTTTGTTTGGTGGTCAATCGCGAGGGGCACTGCAGCTTCCTATACATGGCACAGCGCCAGAAGGCCGAATTCTTGGAGTGGCAGCTGTAGGTGTACCCCTCGTGAACCAGCTGCCCGCGAGAGGTGTAGGTGAGCACTGCAAAAACAGAGAGGAGAAACAATTAACATTAGTGAGTTATAGAACTGATCACACTTACATACGTATTGGACAAAATATTGTTGGTGGTCGGGCATCAGATTCACATTGTATTTGTATCTTTATTCTACTTAATTACTTAGTAACTATATTGCACTGCTGAGACCAGGTGGACTGACTGCTAGACTGCCCGAGTTAATCGTGAATGAGCATTAGGGGGGCGTGCATCAGGTCCTGCTCCATCAGCTCCAATGTACCCGCATCGCTGACCATAAGCGCCTGTTGCTGCTGCTGGTGTAGCGGCAGCTGCGTAATGATCTGCGCACGTGCTAGCTTCCGTTCGGAGCTGGCTATCGCCAGACGATTCCGTTGCACAATCTTGTCGATCTTCTCCGTGTGCGGCACGTGGTTGTGCGGGCCGCCGGTAATGCACTTCAGCTTGCCATTTTCCAGGACACAGCGCGAGCGGCAGCGCTGTTCATGTTTCTTCTTTGAGTAGTTGTGACAGCGCCAGTACTCCTTGTTGCTCTTGCGGCTGTGGCAGTTGTACATGAATCCGTTCAGCACCAGGCACGGCGTCGACCAGGGGCTCTCGATGAAGACCAGTTCTGCGGATAAATAAGGGAAGGGGATTGCAGTTAGTGTCGGAGGATGGCAATGGGCGATAAGGATTAACTAGTAAAGTTGGTAGCTTAAGTGACTGAACTGGACCCAATGTAGAGGATTTAATTTATTAAATGGTTAGATACGAACACTAATAAAATGAATCTTAAGTGAGGCTTAAGCTATATCGAGAATACTATGAGCTAAGGTGCGAGACGTTGGCTTCTAGAGCGCCTGTCTTGAGCAGGTGACGATGATGCAGTGGCTTGATGAACTCCACTAATTCCTCAGAAGTGTTTTGCGGCTCATGCTCCTCCCCTTCTTCTTCCTCCTCCTGCTCCTCCTCTTCATCATCTCCCACAATATCGACATTGGTCAATGTCTGCAGCTCGATTTGCGTTGCCTCGGAGGCTGGCAGATACAGCTTGCACTCCTTGCCATCTTTGGCTGTCATGATGCTGATGTTGCTGCTGTTCAGGTATTGTGATAACTTTGGGTTCGACGTACATATCTCAATGTACTCCTCCAGCTCCTCCTCCACCTTGTACAGTTGCCGATGCCCAATGCGTACCGCATGCGATTCGTGGTTGTGCTGGCGTCGTGCATCCACAAAGCGCCCATTCTTCGTGATGACCACCGCCTTGCAGCGGAGCTTAAGTACATCTGCACACCGCCAGGTGGTCTGTCCATTGGCCTGGGTTAGTTTCTTGTTATAGATGTAATTACTGTACACCAGCTGGGCGTTCTTCTTCTGGCTGCGTATAAACTTGATTATTCCGTCTGCGATTTGTGTGTATGTGTGACAAGAAGATAACAAAAAGTTAGAGAAAAAGAGTAAGTAGACGCACACAGAGAGCAGAGTAAGCTAAACATAACTAGGATTAAGAATAAAGAGACGCGGCTTAGGCGCTACGTTAGGCTCGGCGAAATAAAACAACTATTGTTTACAATTTGGCTGAAAGCATTTTATTTGCACTTATAGAACCCATTATTACCCACGAAGAACCTCGAGAACTTACGGACGATGGCATTCCCATCCACATTTGTTCACATTTAAGTATAATCACAATTAAAATTACACCGGAACACACAGCACAAGTTCACCAAGGAGAAATATCCGAAACGTAGCATTTTCTTCAGTTCACGGAGCTACGCATGGTTACGCATGCCGCCATTGTTATGGGTATCACTTTTAATATTTATTTTACACCGTTTTATAATATTTTCAGCGTTGTTATTTTGGTCTCCTTCCACTTTTTTTTTTTACATTGACGTATCGATAAAATATACCGAAAATAGTATATTATATCGATATACCGCAAATCATGGAGTGTTTTCCAATTCTTTTTGTAGATCACTTCTTTATTTCCATAAAATAAGAAAAGCATCTTTTCTGAAACACAGGCAACACTTTTGTGGTACAGTTTCTATTATCTGGTGGACAATAGGTTAATGGAAACCGACTAGTATCGAGAAGTTCCCATGAACCCAACACGATTTAGTTGCGAAATTGAAAAATACCAATGTACAGGACAATTTGTATCGAAATATATACGAACAGGACTTCTTTGATATGGCAGCACACTGAAACTGCACTATGGTAGCGCCGTGATACTAAACAAGGTGGCAGCCCTGGTCAGCTCACACACACCTACACCAACCAAACTTAATTGGAGCAGAATGTGCGCCCATGGCTGGACCGTATTATGCACAAGAACGTTTCAATGGGCTGTCGTATTCAGTGCCCTCGCCGATGCAAAGGCACCTAATGCGGTTCTGTTAGACACCTCCGACTGCGAGTAAAGCGCACACATCACGATTGATGATTTAAAAGATTATAGCGCATACCAACAGCACCTTTGGATATAGTCTGGCATCTCTGTCCAACCCATGAAGCAATCCTGGGAAGGAATAAGCCAACCAAGTTTGTTGCAGCCAACGTTGGATTGGTTACGAGTATACGCAGCCATCTTAGAGATTCGCAGCTTTGCGTGCTTCGAAAGGAAGAAATTCTAGAGCATCAGTGATCCAGTTATATTCCGAAAACTGAGCTGCAGCCCGAGACACCTTTGATAAGCGTTCGTGGTGCGAATGGTGTACCAAGAAATTTACTACCAAATTCCATCCGTTCTTCTGAGATTTTTTGTTCCATACATGAGTTGAATATTTCCAATCTAAATTGAGACAAGATCAACGCTCGTCAACTCACTAATAACCTGATAGCCCACCCCGTTCCATTAACCCAACACAACCCAATAATTCTCTGAAATTTGTAAATAAAATATACGATATTCAATAATAGTTATATTACCATCAGACTGCAGAACCATCTCCTCCAGAGGCACAATCTAGTGTCCAGCATTCCAGGGGGTTGATCATCTTGAAGACGCATTCAAAAACAACACTCTACTTACCCATTCACTAAGTTTTTTAACGATTCGCGAGATCTGGCGTATTTGCGACAGCCGATCGGACAATGTTCTTTTGCGGAGTTGAATAGAACACAGTCTTTTGTATGCTTAAATACTAGTTTGTTAAGCAACGCTTAAATAGGAATCTGTCCCAGATTTAAGAGTGCCTATCAAACATCAAGAAGACATGTCCCGCTTGCGAGCTGCCAACCAAGTTTGTCTGGGAACTATAAAACTGCTCATTGGCTTATTGAAGTCGATGTCTGATCAGATAACTCTTTGTTGCAACTCGCAGGCAGGTGTCACATCTACTTACTAATATTACTTAGAGCTAGGTGGCACTGCGCCTGTCACAGTAAAAATTCAACCAACCTTGAGCCTCAGTGTTGCCTTGATCCGCGCTGGTGTCGACAAACGACGAGTCGCTATATGCCTGCGTCTTGATCACGGCCTTTGATGTGGTCGCTGTCGCACTGTTGCCGCTGGTATTGGCTGGTGCTTGGGGGCCGGCATCTTCATTTTCAGTAAAATAGCTGTCATCGTAGCGCATGTCGCCGTATGTGTCGTCCTCGACATAAGTGGTATCGCCATCCCCTGCAGCATCGCCATGGTCCTCAGAGTATTCAGGTTCTGCCTTTGTCGGCAACTCCATGGGGAGATCAATGTATTCGGCTTCTTCTTGCTGTTGTTGCTGCTGGCGGAGCTGCTGCGGCTGGAGGTGGAGTTTGCTATCTGCCCCGGACACCGTCTGCACGGTGATTTGCTGGGGCACCAGCTGCGTTGTCGACGTAGTGGCAGTCTCGTTTGCAGAGTCCAGGGCATCAATGACGTTGGCAGAGGCGGAGGTGGCTGTCGTCTTGGAGCGCTTTACGCCCCCAGTCAGACTACTGCGCTGGGCAGTACGCTTGTTTGTCGACACCAGAGTCGCGGTCGTTGTCGTTCCTGTCTGCATCTGCTGCGTCTGAATATGCTGCTGCTGCTGTGGCTGCTGTTGTACAATAGTTTGCGGTGCGGATGTTTGGATAACAATTTGGGTGGTGCCCTTGTTGTCATCGCCCATGCTGTCGTCGACGGTCTCGATCTTGTAGCGGGCAGAGGTACGCGGCTGTTGGCGCTGAACGCGCTGGGCCGGTACCGGTTGTGGTGGTTGTTGTTGTACAATAGGTGCTGCTGGTGGGGGGGTTGGCTCCTGCGGTGGTGGTGGAGCGGGATCATTCTGTAATTTTATGCTTTTATTATTAGTTTGCATATATTTATTGTGCTTCTGTGCTGCATCTTTCGAATCGCGGCCAAACAAAAACAACAACAACCACCTAGCGTTGAACACTTGGCTGTTGTCAGGCACGCCAGAGCGAGACAACAGCAACGCAACCAAGCGTCATACAGCTGCCATCCCTCTCGCACGCGCACGCCTGCTGCATTCTGTTCTGCGGCGTTCGAGATATTTCTCGGTACAGTCAACTCTTATACAGGCGTCGGCCGTGTGTATGTATTGCGCGCGAACGGTGCCGCTGCTGCGCTTGGTAGTTGTTGCTTTTTGTGGTACATGTACTCAATTTCGTATACTTACATCGGTCAACCCCTTGATTTGCAGCGACTCTGCTGTGCTGATGAACGCAGGCAGGGCATCCTGCTTCACGTTCACCTCGCCACAGTACATAAACTGGATAAGGTCCTTCAAAGCCATATGGCTCACGTTGTTCAGATACACTAAAAATGCATAATAATTATTAATTTGCCTCATTTAGGCTTATGCGCGTATGTTTGGTACTCACCGAAGGCATTGGTGTTGAGCGGCATGTTGGTGAACATCTTGCGGAACAGGGGCGAGCATACCGAAAGGACCAGGCGGTGGGCCTTAACAATTTGCCCCTCGGCCACCAATGAAACGTCCACCAGATCGCCCCGACATAGCGACTCGTGGAACCCGGCCGACAGATTCGTGTTGAAGTTGTTCCAACACAAACTGAATTGCTCGTCGTCCGCCATCTTGGACGTTGAAAAAATCAATAATTTTCTGTATATGCGTCGGCTGCAATGGAGAACAAAAACGCATTTAATGTTTTTTCCACCTTTTCTTTTGATTGGTTTGTGTTCAATTTCAGTTAATATTTTTGTTTACAACCGCCACCGAATACCAAAAACGAAGAGAAGCGAAAAAATGCCTCATTCAGGGAAATTTTCAAGCGTGCCTCTGTATGTGTGCGCCAGAAAAAATTTCATCGCTTCTGGCATTTTGTGTGTTTTATGCAGTAAACAATGTATTTTAACAATTTCTTGACGCCAACTAGTGCACTTACCTCTTGAGTCAATATTTTTTCAAACAAAATACTTAAATACAGCTAGTCAGTTAAAATTAAAAATTTTTTCTTGCGCTTGCAAGAGAACGCGTCTGAAGTTTTTTTGCGGGAACGTGTGTGTGTGTGTGTGAGTTGTGAAGAATAAGGGTTGTCAAATATATGAAAAATATCAATATATCGATATATTTTTGCGATATTTTTCGATATATCAAGTTCGGTAAATAACTACAGGATCTAAATAATTATATAGGGTATATTGTATGTGTTCCGACACCATAAATACTATAAGTATAATCTGTTGTTGGTGGTATTGATCGGCATCAATAAAGCCATTTTTGTCTGTCCATCTGGCAGTCTTGTTAGTCGGCTAGTACTTGCACCAAAAACCATAAATACTTTCTCAAAAGAATTAAGTACGTAAAGCGAAAAATAGTTGAATAAGTCAAATTAAATACACGGAGAAGTCGAATAAGGATTAAAGATGTTAAAAATATATGTAAGGTTTCTGTTTTCCTTATGGGAGCTATTTATTTCCGATGAGCACGAGGTTGAATTGTACCAAATATATACAAGCCAAAAAAATATCAAATCTATCATTTTTTGCGGTTTTTGCAATGAATTTATTAAATATTTGACAACCCTAAGGCAGGGTTGAATTGACACCTGGGCCGGGTGAGAACATGAGTGTGACCGCGGAGCTATCAATGAAAGACGCGGTCTGCCCCTTATAAATATATCAAAATACAGCAATCTATTTCTTTTAAATACCGTAAATATCCTAATCCTAAATCATTTTTCTCGATTTTGATGTTCTTTCTGATATTATCAGCTTGCAAAGACTTTTAACACTGAAACAATAATTTAAACCGATTGAAGAATCAATTGGGCTATTATAAATACTTATTTTTATTGGATTGTATACCTTTTGACCTTATATTTTACAAAGTTGTATTTGAATTTTTCAAATGATCGTCAGGGAATCCTTTCCTGGTCAGCGAAATTCTTTCCTGCACCTAAACGGTCAGGAAAATTAACTCATTTTCCTCGATTTTGATCTTCTGTTTAATATAACCAGTTGCTTAGGACTTTCAGCTGTAAAACTGTAATTATATCCAATTTTTTAATATTTTTTCCACAATATTCGTTGGCTTTCAGGTATTTATTATATTATTATTGTCTGCAAAAATAAGGTTCAAACTCAAAAGGACTGCAACCATGCTAATATCGCATTCGGTATTTTGTTAAATTTACTGAATCTGCGGTCACTCTGCGGACAGCCTTAATGTACTTATCGATGTAAAATGCAATTATTAATGTAAATATCAATGTAAAAATGTAACTCTGCTAACGTTTTCTCAAAATTCAAAGTACATATAAAATATACTTATACGAATGTAAGTTTGTTTTTCAGTTCTGGCTCAATAGATACATCAAAATTTATTTAGTTTGTGATGTAAATGTTGCAATAAATGTTTGAGAGATGCCTTTATTGTGAGTTTCAATCATTTACAACACTAATCCTAACGATTCCGTTACTTGCTATTTTGATTAAAGCCCAATGATGTGGTGCAGTCACACACTTGAAATGAATATCAAGCCAAACACGCAAACACACTCATACAATAATAAATACTTTTTGATCTTCAGATCTGTATTGCTAAGTACACTCATAAAATCAAGTGTGCGAAAATCTGCTCTTGAGCCCCACTTGACGTATTCAACCAGTTGCGACTCGCAGTTTATACAAACATACAACACGTACGCAGGGGGACTATAAAACTTAAGGACTTAACAATAATAAATACGGATACTTAAGCTCAAGTAGCGAAACAGAATCTGCATAAAGTGGCTGCGAACAAACAACTAAACTAAAAGAACAACAATGAAGGGGAAGATGAATACACACAAGCATACAAACATACATACATGTATATGTACATACATATACTGATGTAAGTGTCTGTGAAAGAGACAGCAATCAAAGCTGAGGACACATATCCTTAAGAAAGAAAGAGAGAGAGAGGGAGAGTGAGTCGACTAACTGTCCTCCTATATAAGTCTTTCCAAAACTATTTACTGTCTCTATGTTGAATCATGCTGAACTTTAAGAACTTTGACCCCATCAGCCATGTGGATCACAATGTGGAGCCACTGTTTCAAGAACAAATTCTCTGCCATCACATCCAGTGGCTGCCTGCCTGATACTGCTGTTGCCGGGAGAGCCGCCTCTCCAGTGAGAGTGAATCCCAATGAAACGTGCACATGCTCGGCTGTGATTGGTTCCCCTGGCAGCCATTTTTCCATCCGACAACGCTACACGCCTCGCTTATGGCCCGGGGTGGGTATCTGTACTGTACATGTGTGTGTGTGTGCAGTTCGTTCTCTTTCAGTCCAAGAAGAACCGAGCATCGAGCATCGAGCTGACAAATCGCCGACACGGTCGAGTGCGTGCGCATCGGAACAGTTACGGCAACGACAACGACATTCAGTTCCAATACGTCTGCAAGGGGTGCGGATGCATGCCGCCACATACTCATCCTCATCCTCAACCTCAACTATTCGAATCGGCTATTCGAGTCCTACCCACACCATCGCGCTCTCCATATCGCAGTCGCAGTGGCAGTCGCAATCCATTCAAGTGTCGCAAGTTCAAGTGCAGTTTGGCAAATTGTTGTATTTATTCTAAATTGAAAGTGCCAGCTCAAGTGCCCAAAGTGAAGGAAACTCGAAAATGTTGCAACATCATCAGCAGCAAGCACAGGTGCCACAATCCGGCGGCTATTACGACTACAATCAGTCCCCCAGTCCGGGCAGTCTCACCAATGCGGATGCCCTCAACACCACACCATTTTCAGTCAAGGATATATTGAATATGGTCAATCAAACGGAGGCTTACGAAGGTGCCTACGGACATCTAGATAGGTAAGCTTATGCTTAAGATTTGTGAAGAATTCATGAAAATATTCATAAATTTATAGTCGAATTTAGGGATTTCTTTAATAATAATACCATCACGGAAACACCTTTCTTGTCCGATCCCTTAAAGAAAAATGTTCCTTATTATCACTCAAACATCTACCTGTCAGCAACTACTTTCAAAGACAAAACCAGTTCCCATTTTTCCATTGCCCTTTCCCATGCATTTTTTGCATTTTATTTATTTATTTATATTTAGTAAGGCTCCATTGGAAAATTAATTTCCAGCAATTTTCGTTTGAAAGATAATGTTTTGATAACCTTCTGTCGAGACGGAGACTCGGCAGAAGAAATCCTATGAAAACACATTGGAAGCATGAATTGCAAATAGGATCTAGGGTCCCGCACCGCACACATATTCGTAGAGAGCCAAGGAGCAGGAGTTTCGCTTTGACAAATCATCGTTATTTGTACAAGAGGCAAGACCTCTCTCTCTCACTCTCTCTCTCTCTCTGTCGAAGCCCAAGACGCATCCACACACATACACTCACAAAAGTAGTAACAATAGGAAAAACAAGGTCCGAGGTCCGAGGCCCGGGTCTGCTGTCCGACTGCCTGAAGCCGCTCGGAGTGTGGTCGTAGGGGCTGGCCAACATATGTGATTCGCATGTGTGTCCGGTGCGGGGCGTCCTTAATTCTGATGAGCCATGAAATGATGTCACCAAGGGTCCTGTCGCGACAGCAGGAAGTACGCAAATGGTCCAGCAGCAAGCTCTTGCTGTGTCCGGTGTGATGCAACATGTGGCAGCCATAGCCAGAGCCGAAACTAACTCTCCATCTCTCCCTCTGCTCTCTCTCACTGGTAGTGCCGCTGCAGCTTCGGCGCTCTATGGCGCCGGCGATTACCAGCAGCATCTTCACCAGCATCCGCATCCGCATCCGCATCAGTACCAGCACCAGCAACAGGAGGTGGCGTCGCAGCAGCAGCAACTGCATCATCATCTGGTTGAGCATCAGGAGGATGCCACGACATCGTCGTCGCTGTCGCCACTACTGCCACCCCCGCCCCACGGCCACCATCAGCTGTACGGTGGGTATCAGGACTATGGCATGCCCGCCCACATGTTCCAGCATCATCATGGACATCCGCATCAGAGCTTTCAGCCCGCTGCCTCGGCCTACAACATGTCCGCCACGCAATTCTATGCCGGAGCCACGGCCACGTCCTATCAAAGTCCCGCCACATACAACTACAACTATGCAGGGTCCGTGGATGCTGCCGCCTATGTGCAGCCGCCGTCAGCATCAGCAGCGGCAGCAGTCAGCATTAAGAGCGAGTACATACCCACACCGTATGTGACGCCCTCACCCACACTGGACCTGAACAGCTCCGCCGAGGTGGAGAGCCTTACGCCGGCGCAGAAACTCTGCGGCAATCCGCTGAGTCAGAGACTCCTCGAGACGGTCAGCAACTCGGCATCGCTGCGTAGCATTCACAGCACGGATGAGGGTGCCAAGCGAAGTAAGTAGGAGGGAAACCTCAGCTTTAACCTGTTCTGGAAGCTAATTATTTTGTGAACCCACAGAGGACAACGGCCAGGTGACCTCTTCGCGTTCCGAGCTGCGCAAGAACAGTGCCAGTGGCAGCAACCACAGCAGCATAAATAGCAATGGATCCACGAAGCCACGCATGAAACGCAAGCCACGCGTGCTCTTCTCGCAGGCGCAGGTCCTTGAGCTGGAGTGCCGCTTTCGGCTGAAAAAGTATCTAACAGGTTCGGAGCGTGAGATAATTGCCCAGAAGCTGAATCTGTCGGCCACGCAGGTGAAGATTTGGTTCCAGAATCGTCGCTACAAGTCGAAGCGTGGCGACATCGATTGCGAGGGCATTGCCAAGCATCTGAAGCTCAAAGCAGAGCCACTGCACTCGCCCACATCGCTGCCACCGCCCATGAGCAGTCACATGATGTGGCCACCCACAGTACAGCACTCCCAGCAGCAACATCAGCAGCAGCAACAACAGCAGCAACAGTTGCAACATCTGCAGTAGCTGAGGGACAGGCAGAGTTGGGTTGAAGTTTTTTAATTTATTGCAGAATCTATATGTTGTAGCCTAAAGAAAATGCCTCATAGCTCTAGTACCTTGTTTTATGTATATATATCGGACAATAAATAAAGTTTAAGAGAAACTATTCCAATGGTTTAATTCAAAGGAAACTTCAGCTGGAAGAGCGGGTACTCTGGGTACTCCAATCACTTTCTTCTTGGTTTCCTCTGCTGTCACATAAAACATTAGGTCTGCGCTCCCCTGTGCTCCCGGGAGTTCCTCGTATTTATATCTTTATATGAACAGCTTTCCATCGGATCAGCCAGTCAATCCATCGGGTATCCGTCGATCCATTAGGCACCGCATCTGCGTATAATTGTTGCCCGATCGCCGCATAAATCAATTTTATCGAAAAGAACGATCAGTTTTGTTTTATGAAAAAATTCAAAAAGGAAAACAAAACAATTTCCGTTTTAATTCTGTAAATGTTTTTCCCTTTTCTACTTTTGGCATGGCCAAAGGGGTGCTCGGGGGTGCTCGGGGGTGCCCGGGAGCCCGGGTGTCCGGGTGCGTCGGCGGCAGGCACTACAAAGGTTGCATTTATGAATCGTTTAAGTGGCAAGCAATGCAACTGTAAAATGTTTTCCTATACATCCAAAAGATACTGTTGAATGCAGGGCACAGAAGAACTCCTCAGCATTTTATGACAGCCAGCGGGGCAAAGGCTAATATTTCATGGAGTGAGTTTTGATGGTGTCTTGGGGCCACAGAAACAGCCACTGGCATGCCACAGAGCTGTAGTTTCCCCTGTGTTGTGGCATATCAATTACTCCACAAACACATGCCACAGAGAGATTGAGGATGATGCTTGGGGTGAGTGGGTGAGCCACAGGCCACAGGCCACAGGCCAGACCAACAAGTGCAGCTGATCACACTTTTCGGAGGGGAGTGCACACGGCCCGAGGGGTTTGAGTTTCAGTCTTTCTGACAGCCAGAGCTTCTGGGGTTAACTCTTGTTTATCCGTGGTGGGGTTGAGTGTCAATCACAGTGATCAAGCATTAGATATTCCGACAGTAGTCGTTTGAGGAGTAGAATTAGGCTCCCAAAAGGGACCGAGGGAGTTGGTCGTGGAGTGGCAAACAAAACGCCTACAAGGCCAGCCTTGGCTAGTCCCAGGATAATGCATGTCAAGTGCTGCTAAACATTGCCTAATGGACCACACTGACCAGGCTCTGGTCGAAGGAAATCGGAATCTGCGAGCCCGAAACAATTAAGGTTTCGTCTTACAATGTCGGCGGCAATGTTGCGGCGACGCGTCGTGTGCTCCTCCTGCATTGAGTCGATGGTCTGGAGTCTAGACCAGCGACGGGCGAACTCAAGTGGGGAAATTTGTCATTCCCATATATCACGCAAAGGATCGGGTCGTTCGACGATAAGCAGGTCAGGATAAACCCCGATGTTGGAGTATGTACATACGCTGCTCGCATTGTAGCGCCGTTTAATTCATGTCCCGTCAAAGGATCAAAGACGACACAAGCCGCTCTTGAAGTCGCAGCTGGGAAGGGATCCCATCCCTTGCCATTCCATTCCATTCCATTCCATTTCTCCGACTCCAATCGATGGCTGCTCTTCATTGCTTTCACTGTCATCATTTGCATTTCCTCCTGGCACTGGCTACGTGCCAAGCCGCCAAAGTGAGAGTAAGGTAAGCAAATTAAGATTTATTAACAACAATAAATAAACAATATGCAAGAACGCAACAAAAGCAACAATTGGGGCTCCCAAACGATTTCCCATTTCCGCACCCTTTGAATGTTGCCGCTCCGCCCTGCGACGATTGCGTAATTTTTCTTCAATATTCTTTCTACTTTCACTCCCGACATCCACAGCCAGATCCACAGCCAGCCGCTGTCAAGTGGATGTTGGCTGCGGTTGTGCCTCTGGCCTGTGGCAGTTTCTCCATTAAAGCCTTTGACATTTTATCAAAATATCCATCGAGTCATTGTTATACATTTCCATTTGATGTGCGCCCCGCCATAAAAATTGCGATCTCGTTTTACATTTACCCACCCCCAGCCCCACACTCGTCTGTTTGTTTCTGTTTTATATCCATCAGTTTATGGCCTTTGTGTGGCTTTCAAGTGGAAAATTGTGACAATTATATTCAAATTAATTGAGTAATTGCCTTTTCGGAATCCGAGCGGCGGCATTTTCGAGCGCTTGATTTATGGCGTGTGGAAAACAGCACTCAAGGAACCGAATCCGCGCATAGCCAATAATCCCATGGCGTTGATATCGCTTTTGCTTGTGGCTTGTGGCTAATGAAATTCGAGTTCCATCCGCTCTCAACCGAAACATCCTGATCTACTTAGGGCCTACCTGTAAACAACAATCTCGAGCATCGGTTGCTACTCATAGATTCTGCACCTTCGAATGCCGGGTGGCTTTGTGTAGGAAATGTAATTGATTTCCTGGGTAAATTCCACCTCCTTGGACTTGTACGATTTATAAGTAATTAAATAGAAATTCATAGAATGGAACTGTGTTCACATGTGTGTTATCTCTTACTATCTATAATTATTCACTCGCTAATTATTTCCATAGATAAAATCTAATCAGGAATGAGCATGTAATGTATAATGTGTTAGAAAAACAATTTCACTGGCTATAAAAGCCACACCATTCCCCGGGTTAAGCCATTCGCGAAGTAAAGCCAAGATGTGTCGTAAACAGTTGGTGCCACTCTGCCAGATCCTGGTGCTGCTGAAAGTCCTTAGCTTTTCAATGGCAGTCCTTTATGAATTTGTTATGGAGGAAGAGGAAATATTCAGCGAGTGCATGGATAAGCCTAAAGGATATCTCAACATGGATGGATTTATGGACTTATCCTCCCTGTCCATGGAAATGGTTGAGGAGGGAATAATAGTGGAAGGAAATGCGACTTCTGTGTGGAAGGTCCATCCCACAGATAAACTTAGGGTGACAGCTCAAGAAAACTTTTAGTCGGGGAAACTTTTCCTAAATTGTTTTACTTTATCTTAACTTAGAGTGCTATAACCTTGTTATATTATGATCGCGGAACTTGGCAGCAAACCATTCTCAGTATGGCGGTGGACGACTTCTGCAAGATCATGTACCAAGAAAATCAACTTTGGTTCAAGTATTATACCGGGCACGTGACCAACATCGAAGTGCGGGACAAATGTCTCACCCTGGGTGTAAGGACAGTTTCCAAAGGAAAATTTATTTCAAATTTTAGGCTTATTTTCCATTTTCATTTCAGACCACGCAGATTTTAGAAAGGTATACCCTAAAGCTGGAGTTCGGTTTGGATGTGCCACTAAGATCTGGACGCTACAGGATCGTATTTCAATTGGTTTCGATAGATCGGAATGGTGTAAGGCGCAAAAATGGCGTTTGCTTTGAAATTAGAGGCGATATACATAAGGCGCAGTGAAATCTTGACATGTTCTCAAATTTCAATCTTCCCTATATTAAATATCAACTGGGTTTCAGGCTCTTAAAATATTTGGAAAACTTTTTGTAAACTTTGTAGCTCTTCGAAATATATGTATGAACATATGTACATGCCTAAAATGCTCTTGTAGCGTCATCTGTTGGTATTACATTTCCAAAGGAACATTCTACATGGCTAATACCGCCACCTAGTGCTTGTTTCTCTTATTGTCTCATGGCGGCGCCAGCATCACAACATATTTTATTTTTACAAGCTACACATAAATGTGTATAAGAGTTTTGGCGTGGTGCTGAGAATTTGTTTGAATACTTTGTGGTCTGGACCGACAAAACGGGAAACTCTTCACGGGCTACATTGACATCTAGTGCTCGTTATTCGCATTTTCTCATTGCGGCGCCACTATCACTATAATTTGTATTTTTACATGCTACATTTATATAAGAGTTTTGCCGGTGGGTTGAGAATATTTTGAATATTTCGTGTTCTATACCGACAACTTTCTTTTAAAGAAGAAAATATTTGAATGTTAACTATTAAAAGGTGCTATAACTAACTTTTCTATTTTCCTAGATATCTGGAGCCAGATAAAACCTATATGGTACCATGGTCCATAGTCGACTTCACCCAATCCCAACATAACTTTAATTGGCTACTTTAAAACTAGCAACCAATGAGAAACCAAAAATCAATAAAAACATTGATTGAATACTTAGAAAGCACTTGTCCAAACTCAGCAAAGCATCGAAATACCTCAGCCGGATCGGGTTTCGCTGCACTGAATATGAATGATAATGAACAGCAGGGCAGAGCAAACAGTTGAAGTGGTTTTTGATAAACCATTAAATCGAATTTAATACCACTAGAACAACAAACCAGTGGACGAGGAGAGGGTCACTGGGGTGGCAGACATTTCGAAATCAAACAAGAAACTCTCGGATTTAATTGAAAACGCCAATTCATCATGGACAGAGAGGGGAAGGACTCTCTCCCCCATTTATGTAATTGAATACCTGCGACATTCATGGGTAATCACATCAACAATCATAGCAACCAACAGAATTACATAGTCGAATGTATGTCTGAGATCTGAGAACCCTCGCCGGAAAAGGACGCGTGCGCCAGCCACAAGCATCATTATATACTAATTACTCGAGTATTATTGAAACCCATTCAGCTGAAAATGTATAACGAGTGGCAGTTCCCGGTCCATTCCTACCGCACTTGGTGCACACTCGAATTGGTTACGTTACTCAAATCTGACCGCAAAAAAACGCCAAGCTCTCTCTCTCTCTCTCTCTCTGTCCCCTTGGCTTTGCCCCGAAGCCATCTCTATTGTTGGCTTGACTTCGGCATTAAGAGCCACTGAATTGGCAATAAAAAGATTATAGCCCGAAGGTGTGAAGTGTAGCAGAGAGAAGCGCTCCAGGTTAGGGTAGCGGACGTAGAACCGACTGCACACAGACCAAACACCCCCATGGCGAACATGTGTTTGGGTCCATTGTTTCCCGTTCCCAGCATCGCATCGCCGCGCTCTCGTTCCGAGTGAGAGTGGATGGATGAGTGAGTGAATGAGTGTGCTCGGATGAGTGTGCGCAGCCATATTGTGGCCCTGAGCAGACATCCAATCAGCGGCCCCGCAGAGCTCTTGCACATTCGAAGCAGCCAATTGAAAACCAGATTTCGATGGACTAACACTTGTGGAGGGAAGAGATGTCTTAGGATTTACATTTTATTTCTACGGGTATCTTAATGAAGGATATTTACAGATAAAGCATAATTTCTCTGAAATTTCTACTACGATTTGGATCTCAAATAAACTCCAAGAAACTCCAAGACCTCTTGCAGTTTCTCCCTCACATTCATATTCAAATTTCTATTTTAAGATCCATCAAATGTTCGATTTTTCTTTGTTTAAATTTCAAAGGAAATCCATTACCTAACTAACCTACTTATTCCCATTTTCCCCTGCCGTGTCAGAGTTTTTCCAAATTATACCCAAACCAAACAAATGTGTAGCCCAAACAAATCAAAACCCAATGTGAAGTTCACTTGACATCACTTCTGGGGGTACCTCTGGCATCTATCCCATAGCAATGAGAAGAACAGTTAGCAATGCTATAAACAATACTCGTCAACGTAAACAGGATGCATGCACTCCCGAACGAAACGTAAGGTCGCGTAATGCAACCATTTAACGACACATTTTGTTTGGGCACTTGAGAGGAACTCAAATAATGCTCTTCCTTGCCTGAGCGTCCCATCAACCAATGGGCGGCGACGGGCACGAACGGCATATCCAAATCCACCACCAGAGTGTGTTTGAATCCACTTGAGGCGTGAGGCGGCGTGTATTTCCACTCCGTGAAACCGAGTGATTCTCTTGCCAGGGATTGCTATTTAAAGAATGCACGGAGCGGCCAATTCGAGCACATTCGTAGCGCAGCCTTCGAGACGTGAACACGAACAAATCCCGCACCGAATCGGTACGAGCCACAAAGAGATCCGATCCGGAGTGAACAAGTGTAAAAAAGTGCCACAGAATGTTGAATATGGAAAGTGCAAGTGTCGGTGCCTCCATGGCGGGTCTGAGCAAAACGCTGACAACGCCCTTCTCCATCAATGATATACTGACGCGCCACAATCCAGATAAGCATCGCGTGTCCAGCATGGACTCCGAACCAGAGGCAGACATCAGCGGCAAGAGTCGCAGTTCCAAGCAAAACCTGGATCGGGAACGATCCGCATCCAAGTCTCCGCCGCTTTGCTGCCGCGATCTGAGCATCTACAAGCAGGAGCCCAGCATGGCTGCCAATCCCAGCCAGAGACAGGCAAACTACTTGCAGTACTATGCGGCGGCAGCGGCGCTCGACAACAACAATCACCACAATGGACATCACCATCACCAGGCAACTGCCACGGGCTCCAGCGGCGGGGATTACATTCAACGAAAATTGGCCTACTTTGGCAGCACCCTGTCCGCCCCGCTCGACATGCGGCGCTGCACCAGCAACGACTCCGGTAAGTCTGCCCCATTGTTCGCCCCTAATGGAAGCCCCAAATTGTCCATTGTGGCAGCCGTGTGTGCCTGGTGCTAATTTTCCGCCTGCTCCATTCACAGACTGCGACTCGCCGCCGCCACTGAGCAGCTCACCCTCCGCCTCTCCGCTCTCCCACGACGGCAGTGCCCTCAGCCGCAAGAAGCGGTCGCGTGCAGCCTTCAGCCATGCCCAGGTCTTCGAGCTGGAGCGTCGCTTTGCCCAGCAGCGTTACCTCTCCGGACCGGAGCGCAGCGAAATGGCCAAGACTCTGCGCCTGACGGAGACCCAGGTGAAGATCTGGTTCCAGAATCGCCGCTACAAGACCAAACGCAAGCAGATCCAGCAGCACGAGGCCGCCATGCTGGGCGCCACGAAGCGTGTGCCCGTCCAGGTGCTGGTCCGGGAGGATGGCAGCACCACCTACGCCCATATGCCACCCGGTGCAGGCCACGGCCTGGATCCAGCGCTGATCAACATTTATCGGCATCAACTGCAGCTGGCCTACGGCGGATTGCCGCTGCCACAGATGCAGATGCCCTTTCCCTACTTCTACCCGCATCCAAAGGTGCCACAGCCGATTCCACCTCCAAGCCAGCCCTCAAGTTTCGTCAACGGCTCCTCGGCCTCGTCATCGCCAGTGCCAGTGCGTCCTCAGCGCACACCCTGCCCGAGTCCTGGCCAACTGATGGGAATGGAGAGTGGACCGGAGTCCGCGCCGGAGGATGTGGACGAGAACGTGGAGATCGACTAGATGGGAATGGGATCTGGGGGGTTACGTTATTGTGATAGCCGTAGAAGTTGTGTTTTTAGTCTCTATGTGTAACCAATAGATATTCGTGCATGCTCCTGGCATATAGCTTTAGTAGTTCTAAGTTTTAGTTGTATCCGAAAAACGTTATAAATAAAATCGTAAATGAAAATAAGTTTGCAGTTGATTGAAACTTATGGGAAAACTTCAGCAATGAGGAGGTTGGGAAAGGCTTCACTTGAAAACTTTGTTTAACTTTTAGTAAATGTTGGAGAACTTTTTGCATTTACCAACTTAATGGATACATGGGCTATTGATCTGCTAGAAAACATTCAACATAAAGCTCGCAGATGTAAGGATTGAGATTGGAGAAAGATATTTGCCATTTCTATGCCATACTCTCTTCTTTTTATTGTATAATAAATCAAACTGATACCACATGACCTCATTTTGTATCCAGCCTGCAAGGGGTTTCCTGCACTGGCTCTGACTCTCCAGAAATGACAGCGATCAAGCGGCTAGGGACGGGCCTCAAGAAGCGCATCATTGAAGTGGAGTGGCCATGCGTGTGGCCAAAGTCTTGCGAAAAATGACGATGATGATGACCGACTGTGGCAAGCACTCAATGTCGACATAGAAGTGCTTCAATGTGTCAGAAAGGACAGGCACGGAACGGAACGAGCGCCTCGTATGTGACCCACAAACCACTGACTTAAATACGAGTGGGTCGTACAAAGCCTCGATTTCACACACTTTGGCATGCAGTTTTGCAAAAGATCAACCAACGGATGTTACGAGTAGGAAGGGGCACATAGACATGTCCTTAGCAGCACAGTTGGTGGCTGACGACAACAAGGACACAACTCAAGTGCTTGTCGGCGACAAAATTAACGGACCGACGAGGCGATGTTTATAAACAAATAAACAAATAGAATCACATCGGCACAGGCCGATCCTGGCCGGAGCCAGCCAGGACGAATGCATTTCTCAGATCATTGATTTGTATCCACTTGAGAGGCAGCAGGAGCCATTGTCTGGCATGGCAACAATTCTGCTCATCTTACAACTTGCCACCAAGATCAGTTCCTGATCTGCAGCCCATTAAGCACCCTTTACCCCAACCCAGCCGATGGCTTTCTACATGTGCAAGTGGGGCATTGAACGTGCCAACTGCCGGCCCGTGACTGGAAACTGCCAACTGAAAAAACAACCATTCCTTCCCCAATGGCTGATCTCGCGCATTCTT